GAGAGCCCCAGGGGTTTGATTCCTGGCGTGCAATGCCAGCTCCGCTAAGACAGAGATGGAGACTGGACTTGGTGGTGTGCACTTGTAATCCCAGCACTTGGGAGACTGAAAACAGGAGGTTCATTACAAGTCTCATTTACGTAGTAAGACACTGTACACCCTGCTGTAGACCCTGCCTTAGATAAAAAATGTAAAATTTGTGAATTATTTCTGATTTTATTAATGATAAAAATTATTTGTTTTCAAGCATAACATACTAGACATTACAGCATTGTAGATTATGAGTCTCATAAAAATAATAAAATATATATTTCAAATATGTATGTGATCTAGCATTATTTCCTGTAATTCTTAGAAAATAAATATACCTGTATAGAGTATTTCCTTGTGACAAAATGTATCATAAACATTAGACATTCACTTTTTAAAGAGAGGATAAATAAGGATTCAAACATAAATAATTATAACTAAGGTTGTTAACCCTCCAGAAGAAAAGTTTATTGTTATTACCTTACACCCTAGGCTGTTGAGCTTAATCTCACTATCTGTCTGAATATCAAACATCTTAAGCATAACATGGAACAGGTATTTTTCATCAAGTATTGACATGTTAACAACCTAAGCTTGCAGACCAAAATTTAGGGTAAAAGGAGGGCTTCAAGGACAGCCAATATTTTTACCCTAGCCTTCCAATGTCAGTGAAAATTCAGGACATAAGAGAACCTGCACTGTAACATCAAGTCGCTCAGTTCGTCCAAAATTTTCTAATCAAGGAGATTATGGAGCCACAGAGGAAAGTGATCAATGATGTAGAATGTGCCTAAGGAGAGTCACATGGACAGAAAGCATTTTCTCAGTCTTTCATAGAGAACAAATAGGTTAAGCAATGGCCATGACTCATACACATGGCTGACACTAACAAAGGATAAACACACCGTGATACAGGGTTTTAGAATAAATCCTGAGGGGATATGATTGACCTTATTAGATACAAAAACTACAATTCTTGTTATATAGGTCTTGCTTTTTCTTGTTCTTAATCATTCAGCAGAAAAGTACAAAAAAGAGGTATAAAAATTAAAGCAATATTAATATGCTGAGCTGTAAAAGGCTCAAATCATCAACTTCTGACATTGCCAGTCATGTGGAAAACCCAACACTCTTATGGACTATTGGACTGTTTTCAAATATCCTGCTGAATTCACACACCTATATCATTTAAATGACAAAACTAAACAAACAAGGGAACACAAATGAATGACCATTATGTATCTGTATATTCAAAATAGTTATGATAGATATATAGCTACATTCTCTTAACTCAATGAATAGAAAGGTGTGTTGCAAAGGTGTTTGTAAACAAGATATCATGTCTGCATCTTGTAGAATGAAAAACCACTAAGAAAACAATTTGAAATGTATTAATTTTTGAAACTGTCCTAATTTGATTTGAAACTGTTCCACTGCTATTTGTTTCTCAATAAAATTATGGAAAAAATAAAAATAAATGTAAATAAACAATTATAACTGATACAATATTTAACTTAAAGTAACATGGATTTCAGAGCATTTGTTGCAATGCATAATGTTGTCTTACAATCAGTTACTTATATTATCAGATATATGCAGGCAAATATTGGAATAAGAAATAAAAAGAGAAAGAAATGTGTCAGAAATTTAGAAGAGAAAAAGTACAAAAATAAGAAAAAGAGACAAAACAAATTAAGTATTATCTGATCCTTTTCATAGACTAGCAGAAATGCATAGTAGTTATGCAATCCATCCTTCTTACATGCATAAATAAATCTCTTTCACCCACTCACTCTCCTGTCCTCCTCACCTCAGTAACTTGTTCCTTTTGGTGAAGTTTATTCCCTTTTTTCAGGATCTATTGTAGCCTTCATATTCCATTTTTATCTTTCAGGTTGTTGCACTAAGGAGACAATGCAATGTTTGCACACTTGAGTCTGATTTATTTCACTTAAGAGTATGTTTTCTGGTTGCATCCATTTACTCACAGAGGACTCAGATTTATCCTGTTTATAGCTGAATAATAATCCAATGTGTAAAAATACCACACTTTCTTAATCCATTCTTCAGTTGATGGGTACCTGGGTTGTTTCTAGAGTTTAGGTATGACAAATTGTGCTGCTATAAACCTGGGTACACATTTATCAGTATGGTATGAGGTTTCTAATTCTTTTGGAAAAATACCTCCGGGGTGGGTGTTGGTAGCTTGATCTCCACATGGTAAATGCTATAACTAGACACAAGCCTATCACCATGCACAAAGCTACCATCAAAATAGATCAAGGATTAAAATATTAAAACAGAAACACAAAATCTGGAGGAATATGTAAATAGAAAAGTGGCAGACATAGGTTTAGTGGAGATTTCATGGAAAAAAAACTACACAGATAATATTTTAAAGAATCAACAACTGGGATTCATCTTTTTGAAAAATTTCTGTTCCTCAAGACATATATTCAACAAAGTAAAAGAAAACCCACAAACTGGTGAAAAATATAGCGGACTATCCCTCTTAACAGTCATTCTATCCAGAACATATAAAGAATTAAAACGATCGGGCCCACCAAATTAGAAGACCCTGCCCAAACCTCGGCATCTGAGATAAATATACAGTTATCAGAGGACAAAATGCAAATGGAAAGTAAATATATGGAAAAATGTTCATCATTGGTCATTAGAGAAATGCAAATAAAAACAACACTGAGATACCACCTCACCCCAGAAAGAATGCCTAACTTCACGAAGTCAGCAAATTAAAATGTGTCAGGGGATGTGGACTAAAATCAACACTTCTCCACTGGTGGTGGGAGTATAGAGTAGTACCTCCACTGTGGAAATCAATGTGGAGTTTCCTTCAAAGGCTAGAATAGCAGATCATATAGAAATTCATTTTTGTGCTTTTAAAATCTTTTTATTAGTACACTTCAGCAGTACATAGCACATACATTCCCTAAGAGGAGTTGGTGATATTCAGAATATATCTTCATTTTTTTCATCTTCTCCTCCATTGTTCCCATAAATCCTTGGTCTCTCTCTTATTGACAATCTCCCCTCTCTCTAGCTCAAATCGTCTATCTTCTACTTTCATGTTTATGTATAATTTGCTTTTCTCATATAACTTAAAAAAATGTATGAACATTGGTTTTACAACAAACATGAAAAAAACCTGTCATAAAGGCTGGGGAGATGGCTGAGTAGAATAACAGACTTAGTCCAACCCCCGGTTGCACAAAAAAAGAAAAGAAAAAACTCTCATGGTGTATCATAAGTTGAGAGCATTAATTACCGCAAATAAACGGATAGTGTCTACTGAAACATTTAAACCAAATAAATAATATATGTTTTCTTCACACTTTATAATACCTTTAAGAATATATGTATATGTTTACAAGAATTCACATATTGTATATTCATTATTTTTCAGTTGTTTGACCTGAAGAAAAGGTTAGCATACTAAAATAATAACTTATGATCTTCCCGGAAGAATGAAATCTTCATTTAAAGTAAGTTCAATTCTGTTTCCTTGTCCAGATCTTCCTTATGGCACTTTTCATCTCTAGATTTCTCAAAGTATAGATCAGGGGGCTCAACATAGGGGTAATTACGGTGTAAAACACAGTCAAGTATTTATCAATGGGTAATGTAGATGGAGGTCTCACGTATATAAAAATGCAAGGCACAAAGAAAAGGATGACCACTGTGATGTGGAAGCCACAGGTGGATAAGGCCTTGCGCCTCGCTTCCTTACTCAGGTTCTTCACGGATTGCAGAATGACCCCATAGGAGACCAACAAGATTGTAAAGACTGTCACAGAGATCACCCCATCATTGGCTAGTACAGTGAGGCTGACTACATAAGTGTCCGTGCAGGCGAGCTTTATTAAGGGGTACATGTCACAGCCAAAGTGGTCAATGACATTGGGGCCACAGAAAGGAAGGTTGTAAACAAAAAGTACATGCGGGGTAGCATGCAGAAGACCCCCAACCCAGGTCAGGAGCACGAGTATAGCACACCGCTGTTGGTTCATGATGGTCATATAATGCAAGGATTTGAAGATGGCCACATAGCGGTCGTAGGCCATGACAACCAGGAGTATTACATCAACACCCCCAAATAAGTGTTCTAAAAATAGTTGTGTCATGCAAGCTTTGAAGGAAATAGTTCTCTTCTCACAGAGTAAGTCTTTAATTAGCTTTGGGGTAATTGTACTGGAGTAAATGGCATCCATAAGTGATAAGTAGCCAAGAAAGAAGAACATTGGGGCATCCAAGGCTGGGCTGAGCACCACAGTCAGGACAATGAGTAGGTTGCCTGCCATTGACAGCATGTAGATTATCAAGAACACAGCAAGTAATATTTTCTGACCCTGTAGGCTCTGAGTGATCCCTAAGAGAACAAACTCAGTCACGTTGTTCCTTTGTTCCATATGTCCTTTTGTGTATCCTAGATTTTCTGCCGAGTACAAAAGTATCTGCACATAGAATTAGTGTGAGTTCTGAATTTTAAGAGTAGGTTCATTCATTTATTTATACATGCCATCATTTTTTTATGTTTCAGTCCTCTCAAAGCTTTCTCAAGTGCAATTTGGTGGAAGCTAGGTGCCAAATTGTAGAGGAATGTTGCTGGATTTCAAGAACTTCTGGTTTATCTAAATAAGCAGTCCTTCACCTGTTTTTTTCAATTGTTTAGGTGTTTTTTTTCTTATTTTATTATACATTTTTATTTTTTCTCTTATTCTAATTTTAGGTGCATATATCTGGCAATATGAATAAATAGTTGGGAGAAAACACTATGTATCACACAACAAATACTCTGAAATTCATTTTATCTTGTTAAGTGAAAATCTGTATTACTTGTCTTTTTTCTGTTTTAATACTAATTTTTACTCTCTTTAAATTTAGAATTTATTGAAAGCAAGTCATAATATTCAATCCTATGTCCCTTCTTGCCTAAGTATATCTGTTATTCTGAGCAACAGATTTTTTTATCATAAAAAACAGATAATATCTCAGTCACTGTTAATCAGCTATTCTAGTTTTGAAAATCTGTAACATATATTGTTACATTTTACCCTGTTTGTGTCTTTGCTTTTGTTTTTCTTGCTCTTGTTTTTACTCTCCACGATAAGAGAAAATTATAAGAAAAGATCAAAAAAGTAATTGGAGATGTGTGTTGGAAATGATTCATTATAAAACATAATGACATTATCACAGCTTTGTATTAGAAACTAAAGCATTTACACATGGAATTAATTGTATATACTAAAATAAGGATCAATTAGATTTAATTTAAAAATGGTAAGACTCACCATATATTTACTTCAAGTTTATGAAGGAAAGGTGACTTTCTACAACTCTGTGTTAGATGAATTTTTTAACAAATGCATTTCTTTTTTTTAATTTTTTTTTTATTTATTCATT